AAGAAATATTTTACCATTCAACTATTTACTTCGTGTAGAATCAGTACTGAAAGTATTGTCGAAGGGTTCATGTGCACTTTAAATACTCTTATAACAGAGCACTGATGGAGAGAGGGGTGAAGTGCGCACCGTCGACTTCCATTGATAGCAGTTGAATTTCAACTGAAGGAACTACCGACGTTAAATATAGGTACTTTAACTTTTTTTTATTACACTATCGCCCTCAAAATAAATGACTTATTTAAACTCGGAAAGTGTTTCAGTGAAATTCGTCCATATGGAATCAAGGGTGACTATGTAGTGGTAGTTCACTCACCACTCACTTCTGAGATCTCGAGTTCTATTTCTGGTCTCATCATCTGATGGGTGTAGAGTTTCACGGGCCCGAGAGGATCTGGGACGGAAAATAATGACGGCTGCGAAGATTAGTCCCTCCCTTGATTGGTTGTTTATTGTTTGATTTTTTTCGCCATTCGCAAAACCTAAATATCTAAATTCTCAGGAGAGAATTTAGGTGGAATTCTTTTGTTTTATCCTCCAAATTAAGTTGAGCTGCTTTGACCTCATATGCAAGGGATCTATTTATTATTACCTCTTCTCGTCTCTTGCTCAGCTTCCACCATAAGACTGTCTTTTGCAATCTCGTAGAAGAATTCTTCTGCAGGCAAAGGAATAGAGACGTAAAACATTGTTTACCTCTACGAGTTAGTCCCCGCACGCCTCCGCATACGGAATTGAATAAGATGTAGTAGAACCGTGAAAACTGCCTTACTAACTGTTGTTTATCAGATACTACTTACCTACGTTTTCTCCTGTTTTACTTGAAGTTTCGAATGTTTTCGAACCGATTTCTGAAATTCAAACAGGAAAGAATGATTACAACTCCTACAACGTTGCCTAGTATAACACCATCTTTACTCCTACAACGTTGCCTAGTGTAACACAATCTTTACGGCCTGCAACGTTGCCTAGCGTTACACCATCTTTACTCCTACAACGTTGCCTAGTGTAACACCATCTTTACGGCCTGCAACGTTGCCTAGTGTAACACAATCTTTACTCCTACAACGTTGCCTAGCGTTACACCATCTTTACTCCTACAACGTTGCCTAGTGTAACACCATCTTTACGGCCTGCAACGTTGCCTAGTGTAACACAATCTTTACTCCTACAACGTTGCCTAGCGTTACACCATCTTTACTCCTACAGCGTTGCCTAGTGTAACACCATCTTTACGGCCTGCAACGTTGCCTAGCGTTACACCATCTTTACTCCTACAGCGTTGCCTAGCGTTACACCATCTTTACTCCTACAGCGTTGCCTAGCGTTACACCATCTTT